TTGGGGAGCCCTGGTACAGAGAGATTAGCAGTGTGTGTGTGTGTGTGTGCATGTGTGTATGTGTGGGGACCCCTTACAGAAGCTCTTCCCATTCATTCTGTCTCCCCTTTTCCTCTCTCTTTCCACAGCTCTAATCCTTAAAACCTTTAAATCCTCCCTCCTTCTGTGCCCCAGGTCCTGATTTCTGCGTCTGTCCATCTGGTGTCAAGGAACAAACTCTGCCAAATCTGCCCCTTGCACTGTCCCATAGATAACAAATTGTTCAGGAATTTAGTCAATGTTACCAAATTTACTATTAAAGCCCAAAATAGGTCCCAGTACTATCACTGGGTAAGTATGTGTACATCTTTTCCTTAATATCAACAAAAGTGCCTCCATTAACCCCACCCACCCCCACTCCAGCCTTAAGGCCCTGTGTGTATGTCCACCCACATCTGAAATGTCTACAACCTCTCTGCCGAGGGCATCAATATTTCACACATTGTTTCTATATTTACATTTTGGAACCCACAAAAGCTCCCAGGAGTGGATGGGAACTTGGAGCATTGGGCGGCAGAGAAAAGACTTCTTGAGAGTTTTTTTTTGACGTCACATCCTCACAGGGGTTCGGTCACTGCTGCGTTCAGCATTTCACTCAGTCCTCACAGCATGAAAGCTCTCATCCACTTACATCCGCTGGATTAGGAAGTCAATGGTGGTTTAGCGAGTCAATGGAAGGAGCCTATGAAGTCACCAGTGCACTAAACAGCATGTTTGTTAGCGCTGTGAATCTGTGAGGGGTAGCCAATGTACCGACGTCTCATGATGTGACCAGAGCAAATTATCAGCGCCCAAAACCAGGTGTCGTGGCTCAGCAGCAGATCAGCTCGCTCCAGTTTCTCTCGTGCTGGAGGTTAAACCCACGACAGATAAAGTCCCATATCAGTCGAACCTTATCATTGCCAGCTGCTCAGGTCTCAGGAAACCACTTTGAACAGTGCTGACCAGGTGCAACAATCTCCACATAAGGTACAGAATGTTCTTTTTGGATGTGAATTCTCACTGCTGCTGAGAAATCATCGATGGCTGTTGTTTAGGGCCACCTCTCACAATGAAGATTAAGATGAAACACAAACATGTGGTTTAAAGGCATATATGCTTGGCAATACAAAAGAAATTACTTTGTTAAAACAAAATAAACAGAAAATAATTAAATGTAATTAATTAATTAAGGTAACTTGAGGTAACTTAAGTAGCCTGATCGACAGACTAAACTGCAATTTCATGTCAGTCTGATGTTTTGCTCATGTAGTCTGATGCTGTTTGACACATTATATCATGATCAAAAATGTTTAGATAAATGGTAAAGGGTCTGTATTGATAAAACTCTTTGCTAGTCCTGACAGGATAGTTTTGCCATTCACCCAATCATGCTGTGCATCACGATGAACAGGACTTTGTCATCACACATGTCTTATACACAACCATCAAGTGCAATGTGGGGCTCAGTATCCTGCCCTAAAACCACCAACTTCCTGGTTAGTGTACAACCTGCTCTACCTCTTGAGTCCGGACTTACAATCAATTCTGTCAAAAAACAACAGGCTTTACAGATGTGATTATCAAATCCATGTGTGTTGCCATTTTCTGTTTCTCATGAATGTAGCTTTTAAACAAACAATGTATGGAAGCTACATTCATTTATCATTTATGTATTTGCGTACATAAAAGTATATATCTGGCTATGTAGCAGGACGACCAGTCTTTTGATTGGAAACAGGTTTGGACACAAATTCAGCTTTGTTGACATGGATGACTTTAATGATATGGGGAAACGTATGAAGCTAACCTAAAAGAGAGAGTTTGCTAGAAAGCACATAACTGACACCATGCGACAATAATGTGTTATCAATGGCTCTATGATCAAATGAAGTCATTTAGTGTGGTTGTGTGGTTATATGAAGCTCACTGGGTCAGTGGATTGTCTAGATGATCTGCCAAGGACTCGATCATATATATTAATATCAATATTGTCTGAGTTTAAGAGATTAAATCTGATTTTCAGCATCAAAATGTTTCTAATAGCACACGTCACTTTCAGATTCTTATACCAGACTGTAACACTGCTTGTTTCTGACTGAAAAGACACAATTTACCACAGTCTCATTTGACTCCTCACCGAGTCATATGCAAATAGTCGTCACCTACATCTCGTGGGCTGTGTGTTTTCGATTGTGAAGGATTAAGACGGATCGCTGCCTCTTTATTTGTAGAGTTTGAATGTTTTCCCTGTGTCGGCATGGGCAAGTACTCCAGCTTCCTCCCACAGACATAAAGGTTGGGTTCGGCTAATTTGAGATGCTAAATTGACAGGAGGTGCAAATGAGACTGAAGGGTTGTTTGTCTATATATGCCGGTCCTGCAATACGGTTGTGGCGTATTCAGCGTGTACCCCGCCTCTCGCCCCGTGTCAGCTGAGATTGGCTCCAGCTCCTCCTGCGACCCTCAAGAGGTTAAGTGGTATAGGTGATGGATGGATAGAAGTATCCAGTATACACAACACATTTAGAAGTTTAGGATTTTACAGATTTACTTTGCACTATTGAAAATAGTATTTCTGAACAAGTGTATGATGGCTGGTTTGTCTTAAATCACTGTATCACTGGTTTATAGGCTACTGTATGTAATTTGATTTCAGCTGTCTCTTGAATAAAAGATGAATTAAAAAAGCTTAACCAAGTAACAAACATGCTCTCTGGCCTTGGAGGTCTTGTTGGTTTATTATTTAACACATGCAGTAGTTGCCCTCCAATGGCATGACGACAAGTGCCACACTGTCATGGCTAATAAAAATAAGCACCTTTCAAAAAACAGTTAGAAGGTGCTTTACAAGTTAAAAATGATGAAAAGCAAGCAATAGGAAACAAGCAAGACTAATTTGAAGATCACACACTAGAGCACAAATACATAAAATGAAAATAAGGACTCATCTGAAACAAAAAGAGGTCACGTAAGCTTGTGAGAGTCCAAAATGTCTGCATCCGCCTTTCTCATTTTCCCTGACTCATTTATTCTGCCCCAAATAAGTCAACTTCTGAAAAATGTCTATTCTATTTCTATTTATTCACGTTTATTAGCTTTTTACGTGATCTAACTACTGTATATCCGACATACCTGCTTATTGTCAGTATTCTGGCATTTAAAGCCCCTTTTTCTGTTAAATCAGTTTGGATTATAGCATGAACTAAATGACAAATGTGTAAAAAATGGAGCCCAAATTGTTGTTCTCATTAGTCTGATCTAGAACAGTGCAGTCTTGTCTAACAAACCTCATTCTGATATTACCCATCATGCACAGAGTGGCTCTTCGTTGTATGTTAACTCCAAATAAAGCTTCCCCTTGATAACTATGATATCCCTCCTTTCTTCTCTCTCTATCCTGCAATGTCTCCTCATATCCATTGTGTCTTGCATGATAATCCTGCACAATATGTCGTAGTAAATTTTAAAGAGCAGCAATTATTTGAATGGTTTTCTGAAACCACATTTCTCCTTTGTCCATGGTGTGCTGGTCCCCATCAATGATTAGCCAGATGATGAAGCCATTATTGACTGAACCTGAGCCTGCGCCTCATGGAACATTAAATACATAACTTCCTCTCAAGGGGCCCGAAGCAGCTCTCACCCAGCTTCCCTTCAGGCTGCAGTCGGGAAATGAAAACAGCCATTAGAATCGGAGCGAGAGCCAGAGTGCTTATAGGAGGCTGCACTGCCTGCGACGACAATACCCATCATTGTGAAGCCAGGAGCAGGGCTCTCACATGTCCCAGTGCAGGTGTGGGTAGAACAGATTAGCATGCAGACCCTGCTCACTTGTAGGGTTTGTGTGGGAAACCCCTGAGGCCTCAAACTAAAATGTAACAAACCCTGTATAAGAGGAAGGTGAAGCCCATCATGACAGTGTGGTATATCACATATATTGTGTTTGGGACTTTAAAGTGACACACAGCTACTATCTCTTTGGCTATTCCACTATAATGCTCCTTTAGTGCCAAACATCTCTGCAATATGTCCCTGCTTATTCTCTGATTCTCGGTAGGCTATTTAACATTTGATCGAGGATTTCAAATGTGCAATATAACATAGCCTGTGTCTTCTAGTCTGTATCGTGTCCGGTTAGGGCCTGCTAAGATTCCCAACCACACCCCATCCTTCTCGCTCCGCCGAGGGGGAGCGCAGATGATCGCACTCGCAGCCTCGCCATGCACCGTGCGTCCGTCTGCCGGGCTTGTAAAACGGTTTGTTTCGCTCCAGGCCTGTGAGCTACAATGCCACAGTAATTCCCATTATTGCCGATCTCATCCCCTCTCTCTCTCCACCTATCTCACTGACACACACACACATCCACTCATCGTGAAAAAACACAACACGGATAAAGCCACTCCAGGCAGCATGCGTGCGTAAAAAACGGAGAACCGGAGTGGTGCCGGATGTGTAAGCTGAGGGATGGGGTGCAGTCCCCATTGATGAAAACGAGTGGGTAAGGGATGGATGATGCTATGATTCATCCAAAGCACCCCCCCACCCACCACCACCACCAGCGCTGTCACACCCCATCCTCCTCCTCGCGGCCGCGTCTACACCTGTAACACGTTTGACCCTGTTTCGGGTCATCTTTGGCTGCATATTGTTGTAATATTGGCTGATCCCACCCCCCACAATCCTACAGGATGTATTCGTGGTTTCACACACACACACACACACACACACACACACACACACAGAGCTGTTACTGCCATGTCCTGTGCCGTTATACTGGTGAGTCAGGTTTTGGGGACACAAACTCCATTAAAGACAAACCTTTAGGTGCAGAGCTGAGGACAGACTACAGGATGTGGAGCGTGTGTGTGGGGTTGATCAACACAATGGTAGCCTCATCAGTAGTGTTCAACCGGGCATAGCTGTGTGTGTGTTCGGCGTGTTTAAGTTCCACCTGATAGAAGGAATGATGCTGCCCTTACTTTAGCATGGCTTGTTCTTTGTCCTCTTCCTCCTTCTGCCGAGCCATCACTGCCATGATGATCTTCCTCTCCTCCTCGGTCAGGTGGCTGAGGTCCGGCAGATCCGGCATGGATGGCGGCACGGTGGGTGGGCGAGGGCCGCCTTGGGGCCCCACGGAGGCGGACATCTTCTCCACCACCACCGCCGACGCCACCGCCGCCGCCCCACCGCCTCCTCCCGCTCCTCCTCGGCGGGTCGTTTCGGCTGACAGGTTCTCCCCGGAGCGTTTTCCGAGACACACCTCACGACGCGCTCCGCGGGCACGGCGGCCGCGGCAGCCGCAGCTCCGGCGAATAGTGCGGGCGGCTCATGGTTGCGGGCAGCCTCGGTTGTGCTTTTGTTCGTCCACTCGCCGGGTGCTTCTCCCGCCACGCTCTGGACGTCGGTACCCCCCGACCAACCCCCGCCTTTCCCACCTCCTCTCCCCTCCACTGCCCGGATTCACGGGGAGCCCATGTCCGCTTGTTCACGCCGGTTGCTGAGTCGAGCTGTGCGGGGACCTGGTTCACACTGCTGGGTAGTGGTCCCTCTGTCAGACTGGAGCAGGATGTTGGACGGTATAGGCGGAGTCCGCTCTCTCTCTCTCTCTCTCTCTCTCTCTCTCTCTCTCTCTCTCTCTCTCTCTCTCTTTCTCTCTCTCTCTCTCGGTCAGTGATGGGAATGCAGCCCACCTCTCCCACCTTATTCTGCGGGGGCGCGCTTACTCATGAGAATGGGGTCCTCATCATCACACACACACACACACACACACACATACACAGTCTTGTCTCCATGACATTACATTGACATTGTTTTCCTTGAGACTTGCTCCAACCTTATTTATAGATAATACTTGCAGAACTCTATAGCCTTCCACTAAAACCTAACCCTAACACATCCTTAACCTGAACAAACCCACACCTAAACTCTAACCCTATCTAAAGTGAACCTACAGATTCATTTAAACTGTTTTAAAATGAACTTAATCTTAAAACATGACTTCACCTTCAAATGTAATGACTTTTGTCATATGGACTTGCATTTTGTTCCCATAAGGAAGAATACACACACATGCAAAGTGATGTAAATGTAAATACATCACGTATTAAACACAGTTGTATAAACCACATGTGTTTGAGACACATCTTACACATAATGAAACGTCTGTTACTCACTGGTTCTTTTCAGCACCGTGGACAGCTCCTCTGAACAGCTCCGTCTGCAGTCACGTGGTGTTTCTCCTCCTGCAGCTTCTTCAACAGATGAACTTCTTCTCTGGTTGTTTGACCCATGTGCAAAACAGGAGACTTTACAGACTGGAGGGGAAAATGTGCTTCTCGATGGGCTGCTGATAAATGTCACGATGAAGGCCTACATGATGAAACAAGAGCACCGTGATGTTTGGGTTAACACCATCCATCTATCTCATCTAACCTGTAAGAAATGATTGTAAAACATATACATTGATCACAAAAATCTGAACATCTAAACTGTTCTTTCTACCTTTGATTTGATTTTTTAACATATGTATTTTAAATAGCTTAACCAACCTCTTTTTATCGATGTAATGCACGTTCAATTTTATATGATTTGTGTTCCACTGTAGTAAATGGTTGTATTTATATAGAGCTTTTCTAGTCTACAGTTTGCCATTCACCCATTCACACACATTCATACACACATTCATACAGTGCATCTATTAGCAGCACTTATTTTTGTTCTATGGAGCAATTCGGGGTTCATTTATACATTAAAAGGTTTGTTTTCTGATCCCTTTGGTTATGTGTTAATTTACTGATTGTATTTCACCTTATATCTTGTGTTATTGCAGCTCACTGCGCACACCTCACCTGCTACACTTTAATTTCAGTCCCACATTTTATATTCGCTGTTTTTAAAACAGACTGTAGTTGATTGTAAAATGTGGATGACTTCCAAGGCCCCTCTGAAGACACCTGAGATGTTGGAGCCCCCCATCTCCTCCCACATGCTCGTTTCGTATTCACACGCACGCTTCCAGGCCATACCTGATCGGGAGCTGGCACCGGTCCCTCCCTGATGACGCGATGCACGGGTGAGTGGCAGGCTCCGTCCAGCAGGTGGCACAAACCCCACATGCTCCTGTTGCCGCTGCTGTCATCCAGTGACGTCAGCGACGAGGTGACTGTACCGCGGTGACGTCAGCCTCTCGTGGTGCAGGATTTTGTCATCATGTGGGTCGTGACTAGGGAGCACCAGCCCCGAGTGACACAGTGGTGCTCCGGCACAGCGGATGTTTGGTGCAGACCTCGGATATGAATAAAAGCTGAATGGAGAGTGTGGGAGGACAGGGAGCTCCTGCTCTAATGGATCTGTTCTTCACATCTAACACGTTCTCTGTCAACTCGATAGGGACACTTATTACTGGGTTAGTGAATAAGATGCATTTTACACTACTGTATAACTTATTATGGACGTTTAATATAGTAATATAGTATAGTATAGCTCTGTGTGGCTCTTGTGGTGGTATAGTATAGTTATATTGTATAATTAGCTTTCCACAGAAGACATATATATATATATAAATTTTTATTATGGCATTCATAAATTGCTCATATTAAAAAAAAGTCAAGCATTTTTTTACTTCACTTTTGTTTACGGTGACCCATATTGTCTGACTGCCATGTTTCAGAAAATTTACTTTTCTGCAGTAATTTATTTTACTTTTTTCTCTATTAAGAAGATTAAAGGGAAAATCAGCTCCAATTTCAATATGGCATTTATAGCTGAATTGCTCCTATTAAATATTGTTTTTATAAAAGTCCTTATGAGGTGACAAAGAAGATTTTACTTTAGAAAGTTTGAGACAATTAAAAGGAGATTTGGCAACTTTTTATTATTATTGGATTTCTAACTTCCTGCTATAAAATATTACTAAACAAATCCTTAAGAGATGACAGTGAATTTACGCCCCACACTTGTTCATGGTAGCCCCCGCTGTCTGCATGTCAAGTTTCAGAAGATGTTACCAAGGAATATTTGAGGAAATGAAATGGAAAGTCTGCAAATTTTACTTTATGGCAGAATTGGACTGAACGGAGGTAATCGGCTAAACAATGTTTTTCCACCTGCTTCTTGGCAAGAAATACAATATTTTTTAAATTATGCAAATAAAGTGTTGATTATATTGGAAATACAAATTAAGAATTCTAATGACCCTTCATTGTTTTGACAGGGAGCGAATGTAGATCATTACAATGGCACACTGCCATTCTGTTAATCCATGCAGATTGCTCACTGACTGGATGTAACAATTAATACAATGAAGTGGAATGACCATCTAAAGGGGGACCAGGAGAATCGTCTTGTTTGACAACCAAATGTGAATCTGCCTCATGTAGCAGCATCACTCAAAGACAGGCTCTGCTGACATCAAATACACCAAGTTAAAGTTCAGTGGAGACATGATCAATCAAAGAGACTAGACCTGGACTTGAGTTAGACTGGAGATCCATTGAAAATGTAGAAGCCCATATTTCACAGATGATAATGGTGAAATACACAAAGAGAGAACAAACCTATAGTTATTGGACAAATGAAGTGAGTGAAGGCCAACTCACTGAGTAGGTATTTTCCTAATTCCTTTTACAAGGTGAAACTTGAATTTATTTTATTTTATCTACATTCATTAAAAACATGCATAATCTCACATCCCCAGTTTTCAGAAGAGGATCTCAGGCTGTGTCCTGGCTCTTATAGGGAGATAAAAAGGTCTTAAATATAGGGAGTGGCCAGCCCATAATTAATAACACACCCTAAAATAATCAGGCACCTAATGCAACTATGCTAAAATAACATAACAATTTGGGATGTTGTTAGAAGCCGAGCAACAGCATTCTAGACTAACTGTTGACAGATTGACTGATTTCTGAATAAGACGACTATAAAGGGAGTTAGTCAATGTGAGAGAAAAATAAGGGCATGAATGTTTTTTTCCAGATTTCTATGTGAAATAAAAGATTTAACCTTGACTTTGTTTCTGAAATGATAAAAACACGATTGCACAACCTTCTTAATGGGGTTTAAAGCTCAGGTTTTGGTCAAAGATTTCTTGCTGAGGACTCATGTGCTAGTTCCCCGAGGTTTGCTGTGATTCATGCTGGAACTGGGACCAAAGACAATTACATCAGATTTGAAGATGTTTAGTTGGAGAAAGTTGTTTGTCATCTTGTGTTTTATTTCAGCAAGCCAGTGAAGAGTTGCAATGTTTGATTGCTGATTAGAACAGCGTAGCAGTGAACGTGGACATTATGTTTACAGATAATGTTGTCAAGGGGCAGCATATATATAAGGAACATAATTTGGGACCTAGAATTGAACCCTGGGGGACACCATACTGCACGTTCGAGGAGGATGAGACCACTTCTCCAGTCTTTCATTGAGTATGTGATCATTTACAGTATCAAAAGCAGCACTGAGATCCAACAGAAGTAGGATAGAGGATTTACCAGCATCTTCAGTCAAATGGTCATAGCAGACTTTCAGGAACATTTTGTTTCTGTAGAGATTCTGTATTGTGAAGGGACCAAAAATCAGATTGATGTTTCAAATAAATTATTGTCTGTCAGATGCGTTATTCATTGTTTGGCAACAGCTTTACCAGGGTCTTGGATAAGAAAGAGAGTTTTGAAACCAGTCTGTAATTATTGACAGCAGAGGGGTCTAGGTTGGGTTTTTGAGGAGTGGTTTAACTAGAGCAGTTTAATCTCTCCTAGTGGTGGAAGTAGACTTCACAACCTTTTAGTCTTAGAGCTTCTGGTAAGAGAACCCCCTTATAATGATAATGTTTTCAACCTGATGGTTCCTGTTATTTGTAACTGCTACACTTCTGATGTTATAGAGAGCAACACGTGAAAACCATTCTGATACATTGACCTTTGAGCACTTCTGTATAATTCACCCTTCTTCCACGTCAACTCTGGATAGGATTTCTGATTATGCCTGATTGCTTCCATTTTACCATGTGGGATTATGTAGTGCACAGCAACAAACCAGAAAACAAGCAAAGGTTGGTGTGTTTGATGAGGAGCTGGAGGTAGCTGGCTTACGTCGGGTGAGGATAGAGACAGGCTTAATGTGTATTTGTATAGATCTGCAAACATGCAGTCTTGAGTTACGTCCCAGCCATTCTTAGAACACAAAGGGTTTTCCATCGAAAAAAATCTAAACATGTCCTTTTGAGCAGAGTTGAATTTTTAGCTGTTTGCCATGAGAGACACTTTAAATAAGAAGTCTTAGCAAAACAAACCCAAAACTAAACACATTTTGGCACAATGTTTTTATATAACGATACAGAATGAGCTCTAAGCAATAATGATGAGAATAATAACAATAATAATCATCATAATTGGGTGATGCTTCAAATGGGTGATTTCCCACAGAATCAGGAGAAATCGCAACACAACCATATCCTCATCACTGTGAATATACTGACATCTAGAGGATAGATGAGAACACTGCATGTGCAGTGGACAGAAAGCCTTTTCCCTTCTTGAATCAGAGGTTGAAAAACTATAAACTTTGTTGAACGGGAGCCACTGTTTCATCAAATGATTAGTGAGGGATCAAATTAAGTGTTTAAATACAAAAGTGAAGACTCATGAAGTCTGCAACATGGGAATGTGTAGTTCGCATTTGTTAGCATAATCTAACATTCAGCAGCCAAAAGACTTTAGTTATACCAGAGTCGAAGCAGAGTCTGTCCAGTCTGCATTAATGCTACTGAAATTACCTATAATTCACCTGCAGTTGCAAGGTTGCCCTCAATGGAATGGACTGGACATGTTTTATTTTAATTAATGCAAATATAGTGTTGCTTATATCAGAACTGAAATGAAACAGTTCTAATGTCCCTTCATTGTTTTGACAGGGAGAACAGTTTTGATCATGCATGCTGATTTGTGAGTGATTGATTGGTGCGAGACAACCTCCCTGGATGCTGCTGGGATTCTAAGGAAAGTGAATGAAGTTGAATGAGCATCTAAAGGAGGACCAGGAGGAGCGTAATAAAACCTTACAACGATTCAGAAGATGAAAATCTACTTTTTCTACAACTTACATTGAAAACATGAGGCAAATTGGCAGAAAAATTTCTCTACCCTATAAATGTTTTAGGACACAATAGACCCCCATTCATCCGGGTCTACTTAATGAGTGCCACTTACACAATGAATGCAGAAGAGTTACTAAATCAGTATTTATTACTACAGAGCACTGAGCAGCTATGTTTTATTGCTTATAAAGTCAACTTCTTATTTGTAACAGGACAAACATTTCAAAATCAGTGTTTCAATGTCTCACTTCAAATTAGATCATAATTTATACAGATCAGATTTATGTTAGATGTAAATATCCCCATGTGGAAAATGAAACTTTTCAGCAAACTAATAGTGAACTAAATACAGAAGTAAAAACCTCTGTTGGTCTGGATTTTGACAATCATAAAGTTAAAGCAAATAAACTATCAAATTAAAGTAACACTGCAGCAGCTAATCATGCTATTCCCTGTATATTAACTTTGTTATGCTCTACAAAGACATGGGGAATGGTCTTAACAAACATGGTTGTACCTGTAGATAGCGTACTTTTATAGTTTTGTGCGATCAAACATGAAACAAGTGGAAGGTAAGTTTTTATTCTCTTTGAAAGAAAGTTGAAAAAAAAGTTGCAAGCAGCCCTTTTACAACCAGAATCAGGAGGGTTTATAAGAATTACATTAAGGGTTCATCTTCACAATGGTTTACTTTGTTAACAGTAAATTAACTAGTATAACTTTTAATTGACAATATGTTAAATATAAAAATGCTACAAGTAACAGCTTTTACATCTTATTTTTAGAGAAACACATCACTACCACAAAAAGAACCAATATTTTCTATGACAATGAGCAGTAAACCACACCCACAAAATGTATCTATGTGTCAGTGGCCAAAGAATGAAAGATCTCGTCACTGTCCAGTGTATTTCCTGTCTGAGGCTCACAGCTACACCCTATGTATGAATCTGGTATTACAGGAGGCAGGGGAGGAATCTGTATCGTTGACTTTCATGGATTTTGGATAAATAAAAAACCTGATTTTTAGACCAGTTCATTTATCATTTGTTACTTTTTCAGGTAATCAAAATAAATATTTTCTGTAAAAAATATCAACCAACATGATAGATTGGGGCATGGCATGGATTTCAGACCTGGGTAAAGTAAGAACTGGTTTACTGGTTTATTTTATACATACAGGACGGCTTGTATTGGTTTATTTTTGATTTCATTACTTGATCCAGATTTGTTGGGATGCAGTCCGTTTACTTTGAGATGATCTCAGTGTCCATATCTTCTTTGCGGGACACCACTTTTCCATCAACAATCTCCTCAATCACCACTCTCCTCCTCTGGGTAATGATTGGCTGAGCTGTTGAGGAAAATCAAACACAAAATGAAATCGGAATATTTAATTTAAATAGGTAGAGAGCTAATAATGCAATGGTGATATCAACTTACGTTTGACCTCTTTGACCTCTTTGACCATAGTCTTTTGTATGGTAGTCACAGAAGATTTGCTGGAAGAGCAGACAAAAAGACAAAAAATAAGACCAGTCTTACCACTGAAGATAGAGATTATACCTTATAGCCTTTAATCTAAACTGTTTATCTTTTCTATGTATATATATATATATCTGTATATCTGTCTATCTATTTTTATTCTTATCTGTAATTTACCTCACTTGTATTTTGTGGCTGTCTGTTCCAAATGAATTGCCATCAGCAGGGGCATTTAGACATAAGTGCTATTCCTTAAAACTATTTCTTTATCATACTTTTTGCTTTTTAAATGATCCTAAACAGTATGTACAGATCCTTACCTTGAATCCTCTCCATCCAGCAGCCTTCTGTACTCTGCGATCTCCATTTCCAGCCTGGTCTTGATGTCAAGAAGCTGCTGGTAATCGTCGGACTGCCTCGCAATGTCCGTCCTCATCTGGCCGAGCTCATTCTCCAGGCGGTTGACCATGGCCTGGAGCTGGCTCAGCTGCTGGCTGTAACGGGACTCAGTCTCAGCCAGTGTGCCCTCCAAGGCAGATTTCTGCACATGAAACAAAACAAGGAGGAGATATAACAAGCCTTCTGAGAACTAACTGCTTGTTTTACAATTCCTCCTTTCATATAGGTTGCCTGAGGTACTAACAAAACTGAGAAACAGGTTTAGTGACTATTATTTATAGCATGTCTAGTCAAACATATTTAAAATATGTTACAATGGAAAGTGTGGTAGACACTGTAGTAACACTAGATGACAAGATGCAACTGGTTGTTGTATAGTAGCGAAAAAAAGGAAATGCATGAAATGATGTGCTGCTGCATCTGTTCACGTGGGATATACCATACCAGGCTGAGCTGGGACTGCAGCTCAATCTGCAGAGACTGCAGGGTCCGCTTGAGCTCGTTGATCTCGCTGCGGGAGGTCTGGAGGGTCTCTGTGCTGCTTGACACCTGCTTGTTCAGTTCATCAAACTGGAGGACATGGAATAGGACATGGAAATGCTCAGAAAGGTCATTATTATATTTTAAGTTGGGTTTATTTTGTTTATCTGTCTCGCTCCCCCTCACCTTGACCTTGTACCAGGCCTCCATTTCGCGGCGGTTCTTCTCAGTGATGCCCTCATACTGAGACCTGATCTCTTCCAGGACCCTGTTCATGTCATTCTGGGGCTTGGCATCCACCTCCACGTTCACAGAGCTGGTATTCACTTGACTGCGCATGGCTGCAAGCTCCTACAGGCAGAGCAACCATTAAAGGTCAGGTCAAAGGTAAAAGATGCAGGGAGAGCAAAAGAAGGAATGAATAAAAGAATAGACAAAGAGCCCGTTTGGACCACAGACATATTTTTGAAAAAAAGAAATATTGTATTTTTAGTAATAAACAATATCTTGTTCTGTTGCGCTCAGGTTTGGCTACCAGATCCTCAATTTATCTGATATCACCTATAGTATTGATTAAACTTAAAATGGATAGATACTGTGAAAGTGATAAAATTGTCAGTTCACAGACGTCATGATTAAACCTTGTCTGATATATTTATGCACTGTTCATATTGAGGAACAGAATGGAGTCCCTTTTACAGCATCTCCGTTAGTGAGCCGACTGTAGAGTAACTGGTTATCTGACACGTCTTGTCATCAGATGACTCTTATGAATGATTGTTTTGTGGCAGCACCCTGCCGCCTGTGGCAGCACTTGCTTCCAGTTACACAACTTGAAGGCACAGCAGTCATTTCAAACAAGTTTAGCTTTAATGTTTGTTTTTGCTTTAGTAAAAGATAACATCCCTAGGCTTTTGGCAAATATCTGACTGACTGTCTCATGAAAAACTCTTTTAATGTTGTTCTTAGCCTCTTTTCTCAGGAACCAAGGATGAAACTAATGGATAATGCTCTTTTATAAAAGATTCATCAAGATACTGAGGGCAGGCTCTCTGAGATAGTTTGATGCTATTCTTGGCTGTAGGACCCTCACCTCTTCATGGTTCTTCTTCAGGTAGACCAGCTCCTCCTTCAGGCCCTCGATCTGCATCTCCAGGTCAGACCGGGCCATGGTCAGGTCATCCAGAACCTTGCGCAATCCGGCAATGTCCGTCTCCACAGACATGCGCATTGCCAGCTCATTTTCAAACCTGCGTAGGAAAGTGGCACGGACGTTCATGTACCTGCTCAATTACTGTTAGAACTAACAACAAAAAAAAGACACGGTGACGCTAAACAAAACCAGTCCAACCTGTATTATCTGTTGACCGTTACACCCCTGTGTGTGTGACAATATGTCCACTAAGTCTGGAATGACTGAACCAACATGCGATGTCATATCATAAAACTGCAAGTCATTATATATTTCTAAGAGATTATAGGATATCATTCCTGATAAACTATTCCACTCACTTGATCCTGAAGTCCTCTGCTGCCAGTCTGGCATTGTCAATCTGCAGCATCAGCCTGGCATTGTCCTGCGTGGCAGCACTTATCTAAAAAAAGAAGCAGCATTGTCAGTTGTCTCTTCTCCACATTTAACAGCAACACAAAGATGTGTAGGTGATTCACACGGCCAGAATGTGGGGCAACAAGGTTTCTTTTAAATATGCAGAACAGTGTTCTTTACGCCTGAGTTGCATTCTACTGTAATTATTTTAAACTGTTGATGGCATCAGGTAATAAGTAAAACTAAACTTTACTTTCAATATGGCGTGCTTGCATTTTAAAGTGCAGCAACTGCACATACTGCAAATCCTCCATATGATTTACTCATGGTTCCTGGAGAGCCTGTTCTGAAGACACAGGACTAAAGAGTATGTACACATACAGTATTTTAATGAGGACTCACTAGGGTGGGGCACTAATTCAAAGTTTTATTCTGCACTCCTATCTGAGGAGGACAAACCTGTTAAATGGATGAATTTATTTTTTATTATATCCAATATAATTTTCTTAACACGAGTTTGGGGACACTAAATACAATTATTTGTAGATGATAATCTGCTTTTCTATTTATATAATTTTAATGATAATTATTGACATTATATTTAATATTGAAAGTTTAAGCAGTTTGGGGAAACTAAATGATATCACCTGTAGATCATATTTTAAAGAGGATTATTGACTTCATCTAACAGAAGTGAGATAGAGGTTGGATGGTGCCGCACAGCTCGTATATAAGAGTGTGTGAGGACGGGGCAGCTCACCTTGTTGCGCAGGTCTTCAATGATGGCCTGGTACCTGCTGTAGTCCTTCACGACGGGGGCCTGGTTGTCGTACCACTCGCGGATCTGACGCTCCAGCTGCGCGTTGGTGGTCTCCAGGATGCGCACCTTCTCCAGGTAGCTGGCCAGCCGGTCGTTCAGGTTCTGCATGGTCAACTTCTCGCTGCCGGAGATGCTGTTTCCTCCGCCACCTCCGTACGCAGACGACAGGTCAAACCCGGAGCCGATGCCATCGGAGGCGTAAGACACCCGGACGTTTTGACCGCCCGCGCCTGCATAGACGCTCGTCCCGCGCCTGGAGCTCGTCATGGAGGGGAGAGAGGACAGGGACATGGCGGATAATCCTGAGCGGAGCGTCATGGGCATGGTGGCTTCTCTTCTGACTCTGGTGCTGGAGTTCACTGGAAGTGGTCTGATCCCTGGAGAGGTGCGGAGCAGCTGGTGCTGAGGCAGCCCGGAGGATGCGTTTTATAGCCGCCTCCCGCAGATGGGTGCGGCCGAACAGGTAGATGGGAAGATGCAGCTCACCGCCATCACAGGTGTGACCGCTGGGCGTGGTGAGCTGCCCTTCAGGTTTACTGTCCGCCATGTCTGAACCACTCTTACATTCAGGGAGGAGTGTGTCACTGCGCATTCAGGCTGACACCTGGCATGTCAGCCGCTCTGACAGAGGACTGGTTTCCTTTCACCAGGAAGAGCTGTGGCCATTTGATCCTTTTAAAGGTTCAGTGTGTAGAATCTAGTGACATCTAGAGGTGAAGCTTCATGTTGCAGCTGAATACTCCTCATCTCACCCTGCACTTCCCAACGTGAGAGAGAACCTGTGGTGAACTTCAGCTGTCATGAAAACTCAAAAGGTTTTAGTTTGTACAGTTTGGACTGCAGTAAAAAAAAAAACACAGTGGCCTCCTCCGTTTAATTTAAAGATGTAGCTATTAAATTTCTTAAAAAGTGAGCATTGATTTAAAATTTTGAAACCTTTGACACTGAATATTCAAACAACATCTATGTTCACACACTCATTGTGTCTGAACAGGTGCTTTGAGCCAAATGCTCATGTATGCATTAGTGTTGTCAGGGTACCAACATTTTAGTATCTGTACTGGTACCGACATGTATTTTGATACTTTCCGGTACTTTTCCAAATAAAAAGAGAACACTAAAAGTGTCATTATTGACTTTTTTTTAAAATAGAAAATCTTAGAACTATAACATTATGCATCATTAATTAAAATAAAATACCACAATTTTTTCCAGCAGTACTTTTGTGGAGAGTGAAGGGGGCTGGCGTCGCTTGCTTTTAGCACTGACTTTTTTTTTTTCATGGGTATATAAGTTATCACCTGTCGTTCTCTGAACTCCTTGTGCAGGTCTGGGTGCTTGTCCTTCAAGTGTTTTGCAAAGTTGGCCGCACATGTTTAGTAACACCGTTTGCACAGTGGTGCATCAGTGTTAATGCCTTCACCGTGCTCATTTGTTCTCAAGCAGAAGTAATTCCATGTAGCACTTCGTGCACCTGGTTTATCTACGAGTTGCGATGTGGTGATGGTTGCAGCAGCTGCTGTCTCTCTCTGCTCCAGTCTCTCTCTCTCTTTCTCTCCTTTATCTCTCTCTGTCACCAGACTCCTGCTCCGCTTGCTGCTCGCTCGCTCACTCGCTCGCCTGCTCGCCCCAGCTTGCTCACTTCGGCTCAAATTGGTACGCGGTGACGTCAAGCGCCGACGTGAAAAAAAAAAAAAGTACCGGTCTTATCCAAGCGCTGTATAGTACCATTTAAATGCATCAGTACCCCGGTACCAATTTAGTGCCAGTATGCCGAACAACCCTAGTATGCATGCTAGCATGCACTGAACTACGGGTAATCGGGTGACATTGTCTCTCATCATCAATGTGTCTTGTCAAAGTGTTTTCCTTTTTAAGTACAGTATTTCTTATTTATGCTATAATCAAAAAGTTCAACCCCTCACAAGGGAATACAGAGTTTCAACCAAAATGGAAACTTGGATTTGATTCAAATCATGAATAGCTTCTGCGATTCTTCCACTGACCCCTTTTCTAAAAACCTAGTGGCCTGCAGTCCTCTGTCAGACAGAGGCCATTTCGTGACATGGTGTGGTCTGATTGTAATCAGGTTGGTTTGTGTTGGCCAGTCTGTCAGCAGATTTTAATTCAGATTACCTTGACACGCCAAAGGTATAATACAGAAGCTAATCACAAAGCGTGTTCCCTGTTAACCCAGTGGCAGATGCACAGCATCGGGTTGTTTTATTGGGATGCAGAACTACAACTACAGTTCGGACTACAACTGATGTTTACAAGTATGACATGAAATATTTAGGTTTCTCCCTTTCTGTCTTCTAGTTTATAATGCTAATCTACTGTTGAACAAATGCTTCACAGTGCAGATTAAAGTTGATCTTGGCAGAAAAAGTGGATAACACCTGGATAAACAAGGAAACTATAAAAACTGTACTTTTCTGCCAAGCGGCCTTGTTTCATTAACTGACAGTTACTCAGAAACTTATTAGGTTCCAACTCCCATAATAGATGTTTGTTCTTGTGACTGCAGGCTTTTATCCAAGTACATCTGTGTATCATTTCAATTGTTCATAATGACCAGCATTGACCATGTGATGTAGATGAATGGCCTGCAGGTTTTATGATGGAAATGTGCATCTTTTATACATTTTAGTAGAAGGCTAATACTTGTAAAACAATTGCAATGAGATATGATTATCAATTAGGGAAAAGTTACGCTGAAAGTGGTACTTGAGCTCAAAGTTATATAATCAATATTTTCATACTAACAATGGAACAAGTGACCATGTGTAGTGTGTTGACCAGCATTGTCACCCCATTCTGTAATTCCCTCAGTTGTGCAAAGTGTTATGGTACATTTCAGCTGTGGCCAATTTACCTTTTAACAGAATGATTTTAACTACAAATTTATTACTTAAACGGAGATACATTTAAATACCTAAATGTGTCAGTTTAGTAAAAGGTTATGAGTAATGTTTGTTACCTTTGTCCCTGAATGTTCAAACTTCATCAATGTGTACTTATGGTGTCTGTACTTAGGCACAGGTGCTTTGAGCTAAACACTCATGTATGCATGCTAACATGAGCTTCTTGCAGACACTGAACTACGGATAACCTCTGGACATTCTTTGTGAGAATACACATTTCCAGATGAGAGGATCTGGCCTTTCTCTGGAGTTTCTCCAGCCAGCCCTTTATTAAAAAGAGATAATGTCCCAATGACGCCATGTGAGAAAACAGCAGGAGATCGTCCGCAGGATCTGCAGGCTGTTATGGTGAATAACAGAAAAAAACTATTCATGAGCTTGTGAAAACCAAAGATGAGACTCACAATTGTCAAGTGGCAACAAACATAACTCGAAAATACTAAACATACATCTGATGGATGTATAAATGTTTTAATGGAATGACAGGGTTTTCAACAGGCACATTTTTAATTATAAAAAATAGTTCTATCTTAAAGAAGGGCATGTAGACATAATTTAATATTCATTCATTTGTCTATTGATTTGACCATGGTATAAAAAAATGAGGTGCAACTGGGATTTATAATAAAATAATAACTTTATTTGTATTGCACTTATCTAAACAAGGTTATAAAGTGCTACACACACAATAATCCATGACAAAAAATAATGAACTCAAATAAAAGGTTCAATTCAGTTACATTTTGTGGGCCAAATCATAATAATATTTAGACCTTACAATTTATAGAGATCCTAAAATCAGTTGATTTCCTGAACATTCTTGAAAGGATAGTTCACCAAAAAATGAAAATTCACTCATTATCTACTCACCGCTATGCCAATAGAGGGGTGGGTGAAGTGTTTGAGTCTCAGCGGTAAACAGTGTTTCAGCCAAATTCAATACAATTGAAGTCAATGAACCCCTTTGCCTCCATACTGCTTGTGTGGTGTCATCCAAGTGTCTAAATTTTCATTGTTAGGTGAACTATCCCTTTAATTTCAAGTTCTTGGAAGTATGAATTAAATGAATATGAATTTGTTCTACAATGCCATCTTCTTTAATTCTTCTTTAAATGCAAAATGACTTAAGCATATTGCATCAGTCTTTACTATTTCAGCCAGAGAAATCAGATAGGCTTTTTTATTTTGAATTTAATAGTTAAAGCTGTTATTGGTCGTGGTCACATGAAGTTATATAGTTAGAAATCAACTTAAAGAGATCAATAAACAGAAATTGCATAAAAACAGATAAACTAGATGTTTACTGACAAATCATTTTGATCAGATTCATGGAATGTCTGCATGACAGTTGGGACTGTGCAGGCTTTTCTTTTAAATAATGCATTACTTCCTGGTAATGAGTTCATCCACTAACTAAACTCAGATACATAAATATTACATGTCATTACAATATTATTTTGTGTTCATAATGTACATACATAGAATTAATAATAGTTACAGCCCCACAAACAATATCTATCATAATGAGTCTCTATGTACATGCATATATAGCATCTGTGTTACTCTATACTACCACTGCTGTCTCAGAATGCCTTGTTGGGGATTTGTTTGACAAATTAGGCTCTTCATGTTGTGTTATCACGTCCTGCTATGTTAGACCATCAAAGAGATACCTCTTCTCAGTTTATCTTATAAACTTCCCTGGAACTCTGCTGAGCCCAATCACTGTGAACTTTAAGCCCTGACTTGTTCGGCTGGGATATTTGCCCACACTTGGTCTATGCTAAAATGACTGACATCTGAGTGTGGCACTCCTCGTATAATTGTTATGTGAGAAGTGTTGTGTAAGCCAAAGGTGCTTTTTCAAAACAGTCAAAGTGATTATGAAAAAGATAATAGTTTTTCCGGCTCTGGTGCATATATTTCATGAGAATACATTTAATCTCAATGAGATTTTTTTTTGTAAAAACAGCAATTTACACAAATTGCGAATGTCCATGTGAAATCAGTTTCATTTATCATTTACAACCTTGAGTTGTAAATCATTTTTTTCTGTTATGTTTACCTGCTGTGGTCCCTCAGTATCATATAAGACCTGGAGTTCAATGGGAAAAGTGTACGACAGTGTACGTTAATGACACATAATGAGTTCTGCTCTGCATGTGCTGTAATTTTCAACCCACTCCCCAGCAGGCGTCAGGAGGAGCCACCCTGCCTGGTTCATGCATGTGTCACATTAATTAAGCTGTTCCCTCCACTTCTCTTCATTGTCAAGTTGTGAGACAGCTTCAAAGGTATTTCCTAAATCTGCGTGTCATGTTTGTTTCCCAGACTTTAAACTATGAACTGTAAGGTATGATGTGTGACTGGTACTTGAGATGACAAACACATAATTTGTCATCTCTACGACCCTGGTATGATCAGCATTAAAGTCTAAGGTGTGGAGGGTTTGCTTTATGGAGTGAAAAGGGTAAGGGAATGTGTTTGGCTGGAAATGCGCACAATCTGGTTCTGACATTGTCTTTGGGAGGAGGATGTGTTTATTGGAGAGTGTGTGGACCTGCGTGGCTGAGGTGCACATGACATTTAGGTCCGCCTTAAACTGCTTTCAGACATGCACTGAACTCCGGATAACTCCGGAGGGGCTGAATGTGAGAATGCAAATGTCAGAGTGAGAGGCTCCTGCTGCTGTGTCCATGTGTGAAAGACAAACTCCAGAGGAGGTCCAGGCCAAATTGTGTCTAGTCTGACTAAATTGAAGTGACTCTAACTAACGTCTTTATCTTTACCTATCATTTCATCAATATGCATATATCTCTATTTTGAAGAATATTTAAGAATATAATATATAATATAATAATTATTATGCAGACCTATTTGGCACTTTTTATCACTAGGGCGGTAGCAGTAAAAAATCAGGAGCCTCATACTCAGACATCTGCGTCCTCAGATGAAGTTATTCCTTTCAGTGCCTCTTACACTTGAAGCCAAAGCACATGAGACGAGCTTCGGCTGAGCATAGTCCCTACAGTTGTGGCTTCCAGGGAGTTTATGTGAAGATAATCCCTTCTGTGGTTTAGGTTTTGAACAACAATGCTCCCAATTCAGAACTGAGGTGACTTACATCACAATATCATGTACAGACAAAACCCTCCTGGCATGGACCTAGTTTTATAATTGCTAGAGAATGGATCAAAATCGTTATGTTTTCATAACAGGTGTCTCTTTTGTCAAAGTCCAAAAGGCTCCTTGTACAGAGAATGAGGGGTCAAATGAGTCACGATCAAAGAGTTCCTTAGCGCCCACCCTTCAGGGGAACAGCAGCAGAGGAATCTAACGTCTCTCTGTTCAGTTGGCTGTTTCACTTGGCTCGTTTTCATTTTCCTGTAGACCGTGTCCAGCTCTGAAGCCTCGCCTCTCTCCCTTAGAAATTTGACTAACAAGTCACCACCTGCTTTTTCCTGTTGCTCTCACGTACATGAGTCCACTGACCAAACACTCCTGCTCATGCCGTGCAACCGAGGCTATTTCTTGGATCTTAGTGGGAGCAACGTGACGTTAAAAAAACAGGCTCTGTGGCATTCTTCATTTGCAGTCACAGCAGAAATCATCTGTCCCAGACAATGAGAATACAGCTGCATGCAACGCCCTGATGGGTGTTGTTTTCCCAACTGACAGCATCAGTATTGCAATGTCATCATCGCCGCCTCCTTGCCAACAGGACGACACTTTGCTGAAAGGGTATGGGTGTGTGATTATGGTAAGAGTCCTGTCAGTGCTGTCTGGCATTGTTGTTAATGAGCTTGTGTGTGTGTTTTGATGATCTATCATCTATCTATCTAGCGTCTCATGTATCTATCGAGTTTCTCTGTCTTCTTTATCTTTCTATCTATCTATCAATTTGTCTATTTATCTATCTTCTCTTTCTCTGACACACAGATACAAATCACAAGCCAAAACCAAATGAAAACATCACTTTTGTCCACCTCATCATTTCTCCTGGGAAAGAGAGATAGTCTCAACAGGTAAAATATTTTTAAAATAGTTGTAGCAGGTAGAACTGCAGGCTTAGTTGTCTGAACTAATAATCCCCACATCCTGTTTTTTTAGCGAAGCACAAGTGTTTGCCCTAGGGAGGAATACTTGCAAATTCACAGAGGTGAATTTTTGAAGTCGAAGTTGGCACAAAGACATAGATGAGAGAAGGAAATTAAATATTGTCCCAACAGTGAAACATCAGTAATGAAATATTACATGTCAAATGTGGTGAGTTCTTATCGTCCATGCAGACAATAAGACCTCATTGTTTCAGCTGCCGTTACGGCATGCAATTAAATTCTTTCTCTCATGCAAAAAACTTTTACTCTATCGTCTGAGTAGAAAGAAAAGGAAAACTTGTCCGTTGATGAGGTTTTGTCCTTATTTTCTATAAAATGTTAGACTGTAATGTTATGAAAAGAACTCCTCAACCATGATTTTCTCTTAAGACAGGCTAAATGTTTGAGTGGTGGTGGTCACTGCGAAACTGTTGCTCCTAAGACTGACCTTTGTTAATTCAATCTGTGGGAAACACTGCAGACACTCATGTTACATGTTTATTTTTATGTGCTAACCTTTAAAAGAATTGTATTTGAGATTGTAAACATTTATAAAGCAGCCCAAAACTGTTTTCCTTGCAAGGACATAGTGGAGTAATGGTGTACAGTAATGCTATGCTAACGATGCAAGCAATGCTAACTTTTTGCAAGCTGCCATACAGGCCAGGTGAGAGTGTGCTGCACTCAGGGCTGCAAGAGCAGGTGCAGCGGAGGCTGACAAAGATCTCCAATAATCTGTGATGAATCCATTTTACACGTCTATGAAAGCTTTTTTTGGTTCTGGTTGTGTGTTTAGCTTTCACTGGGTTTTGCGACACTGTATAGGGGAGACTTTGCTGAGGGAGGTGAGAGGCCGACTAAGCATTAGTTTTGTGCAACACCTATTGGCACTGAACATTGAATATAAGATTTATGATAAGAAGAAGAAGAAGAAATACAAAAAAAAAAATCTAATAACATTACATTGCAAATGAAAAAGATTATAGTAGCATATGAGTTATAATGTTGTAGCCATAAAGCCAGACAGTCCAACAAGTAATACTCCCGGTTTAGCCTTTGTATGTGGAGGTTATCTATGTTGGTTTTCCTGGTTACACCAGCTTCCTCCCAAAGTCCAAACCCATGCAAATTGGGTTTAGGTTAATTGGAGACTCTTAATTGACCGTAGGTGTTAAACATGTGAGTGTGATTGGTTGAGACCTGTCCAGGGTGTACCTGCCACTCGTCTAAAATCAGCTGGGATTGGCTCCAGCCCTCACACTGAAAGGACAAATTGTAGGCTATAGATAAAGAACGGATGGATGGATATTGTGTCACTGACCAATAACAAATAAACAAAACAAACAAATCATCTTTCTAGGGCTGATGTTTGAGGTAAGGTGCAGAGGGTCCAAAATGGAGGAACCTGTTCTAGGCCATTAGCTTAGGTGCAGCTTTGCTTTTTATTAAACTGACTTGTGTCAGATGATAAATGACAATAACATAAAAGTCAATGACAAAAATTTGGCTCTTGAAAAAACTGAACTCTTAATGAAATTAGCAACTGATCTATTTTGTTTCCTTTTCACAGTTGCAAGGTTAGTAGCTGGGAATGCTATTCTGCTTGAGAAGCATCGACATGTTAAAGCCAGTGTTTCAGCTGTTAGCAGCTTGACGGCTCATTCATGAACAAACCCTGCTTCTAGCATGACCTCCCTCACAGAGACCCACAGATAAACTGTGGCAATTATGCTACATTTTAGCATTATCCTGTGACTTCCATATGTAGCTACAGGGAACACATTCAATAGTTTTGCATAAGTGACAGAATGAATAACTTGTATTTAAGGGTTGTATGTTGTTATGTGCTAAATGACCTGTCAGTCAAGTGTGATCCAAATAACCGATTAAAATGAAATGTTTTTTTAGTTTGTTTGTTTTTGTGATAACGAGCCAACCCACTTGTCTACATAAGTCACAGCTTGTGCCTACAAATATTAAATGGAATCCTGATACCACACCCCTAGATTGACAAATAGCACCTTGAACATTTTATGGATGTCTAACCCTTAGCACCATAAAACCATAATATGTGTTTCAAACACATGGCGTTATTTGTTATATCTGCAGACTTTATATTCAAGGAAACTTTGAAGCTGCATGAGAATATTTTAACAAAACCTTTGTCCCAGACACACAAACACTCAATTATTCTCTGAAACCAGTTATTGAGCAAGATGCAACCCCACACAAAGTGTGTATTACTTGACTTCAGTGCACAGTGTATACGGACATCACATTAATTACAGTACATGCAACCTCTTATTAAAGCCCCACTCAAATACACACACGGATCCTATCACAGTGTTTCCCTGAACGTTCCCTCAACAGTTTGTGTTGCTCTCTGTTTGAAAGCAGCTCAGTAATCCTGGATCAGAGAGTACAAAGGGCCCCAGAGTGCTGGTGATGTAAGCACTGTGTCCCGACCCCACCGCTCTACCCTCTCCCGAATGTTGGACAGGGAGGACCATCCTGATTGTGACACAGAAGACTTCAGATTGATATACCAGTGATACTGGCAGACTAATGGCAGCCTGCCTCCTCTCTCTCAGAGGCCTGCTGCTGATGACCTGCGACACAGTGGCAAAAAGTGTTGACCAACTTCTTGTCGAGGAATGTGGCTAAGCTGTGGTGACTGGTGGATCGGCTCAGCGTGATCAGGCAAATAGACTAAGGGACTTTTGCTACCAGTTACTACATTTACTGCACTGTATTTGTGGAGGGTCATTTAGCAGTAGGTGAGTATCGCTGGGTAAACATTTACCAAGTTAACGCCTCTGGTGTGTGTGTGATCTCAGACTGGGGTGGCAGTTTGTTTGCTGTGAAAGCTGTAACTTTGTATTCGTGTGTGCATTCTGCAGCAAATCTGCCAGTCCTATCATCTGAATGTTTTGACCATCATAGGCACTAGTAGCTGTGTTATGTCACTGGACTGTGTGGAAATATCAGCGGCTCCTTGTGTGTACCTGTAAACATTTGAGTGTGCAGTCTCTCAGGTCTCCCATGGACTTGCTGCAGGACTCCAGTCAAACCATGTGGGGTCTGAATGCCCGTTTGAAGGGCTTCCTGGAGCAGGTGAACAGGCTGCAGGAGGCCAACCAGCAGCTGGAGACTCAGATAGCCGACTGGGGGACCAGGACTGCATCACGCTCCCAGGACTGGTCCCAAAAGGAACATGCATTGAGGGAGCTCCGTGGCCAGGTCAGACTCATATTTGCTGAAATTTGAAATGATTAGGTGATCGTTTGCAATCAGCAGAACTCTTGAAAAAGGTTTCAAATGATCTCTTTGCCAGACATATAGGCACAGTCTTGATGTATATAAGACATGCTACCGAAGTATTAGCACTCAGGTTTTATTATAAAGCTTGGTGTGGGCATCCTCCTTGTCTGGCAGAGAACATAAGCAGGTGTATATCAAACAATGACTGCAATAAAAACACAGACACAGTGGATTGTAGTTGTTGATGACAGCCTCAAGCAACATCATGGGAACTTCCTCAAATAAATGATGTTAACTTGAAGGCTAGGTAAGGTAACGCACCTCACCTTGCTTTCAGGTCAGCATGTATGTAATGGTAGCAGTGCCACCCTGGTTTCAGGCTAAACATTGGTTTGAGGCTGCTGATTACTGATCATTTTGACATTATTAACAACCATTAGCAACCAACTGGATACTGAAACTTCAGCTAAAAGTTGACTAAACTTGATCTTAAACAATTTGACTGGGGGAATTCATCAGCGACAAACCCAAAATACAAACCTAAATGTAAGTACCCAGATTGTACATAAGTCCACGAGGTAGAAAGAGAGGTTAAAGCCACATCAAATAAACCTGCTGCAGGGGATTAGGAGCAGATATGTGTGTCAGAACTCTTGGATCAAAGCCAGTGAGACACAGTCAGAATGCCAGCTGTCACATACAGAAAGAATGTGGAACTCTTTATTACTTTAAAGGCTGTTCAACTCAGTAGACCATTAACACCACGCACTGTGTACGGTTGCTCACATGACTCGACTTGATGGTTTTCGGCCGCTCCCTGGTTTTAGTGTCGCATTCTGCTTGAAGTGGAGGAGTAGCTGTTCTAATGACTCCCTGGTGTCTCGCTGCACACCACGTCACTCATCTCAAAGTCTGGCAGACGAGACTGTGACTATGACAAGATCAAGCTCAACTAGTGCTATTGAGCACTGATTCAATGCCTTCTTGTTAACATGTAGGATTATGTTCCTGTTTTTCTTCTTAAGTGGTTTTTCATATTATTCTTTTCTTTACAGGGCTTACTCAGTGATGCGTAATCAGCCTTTAAGTTGTTATAGGCGTTAAAGGTGATCTTGTCAATGTTAAGATTCCCTCATCTCACAGGGGCTTAAAGATGTGAAGGTGTAACCCAAAATCCACATAATAGTCAAAGTTGTTATGATATGGAATATTCCATGCTATCTTTGTCTTCCCATCAACACGGGTGTGTCCTGTTCTGAAAGTGCTGCACTCATAACAAAACAAAAGGGAAATTAGGGTGTGTTAACTTCATTATGTGCGTGATAAAGGAAGAGGAGACTCCTTTGTTTGTGCTTGGATTCCTCCTTTGGAATCCAAAGACGGTTAAAGAGTGAGAGTCAAAATGAAACTGTTTTGAAGTTTTGGTACAATTAGATGATAACAAATCAAAGAGTAGTATTATAAATATATAAATTCAGTTTTAAGTCTGTTCTACTCTGTTTACTATATGTATTCAATATGTACTACCTTAGCCCTGATTGACTATTTGAGCCTGCAGGCGAGGTGAGGATAGGAGAGACACACACTAAGGATTATCCTCTATTAGTAAGTTTTTAATAGAAATACAGTTTCAATTGTAATAATAGCATAATAGTTTGCTTCCGACCCGGCCATTTGTGGCGTAGCTTCCTCCCTTCTCTCTCCCCATTTAAATGCTTGTCATATCAATAGAGTTAAAAATGCCTCATATCTTTTTAAAAAAGATCATAAATAGTTATAGTAATAATTATATATATTTAATAGATATGTTTTCTACTTCATTAGGCATCTACTGCACATGTTGAGTCATCCACAAATTCCATTTAGCAGGTTCAGTTTCAGGTCCCCTATTGTTCATGCTGGTTGACTGTCACACTGCTGTAAAAAAATGTTTTTAATTATTATGTAGACTACAAACAAAGCGACGGAACTAAAAAGTAACTCGCATGTGTAGGATTTACATGTGGTGATGCTATACAAAATAGCACGTCACAATACACAATACACAGTGCAGCCCACCTCATCAACTTATCATAGTCACTTTGAAATCTGAAAAACAGAACATTGTCTTTCACATTCTTTGATCTAATCTGATGTCATTGTGTTGTACTTTGTGTTTTCGTTCAGGTTGGTAAACTTCTGATGGAGAATGCCCAGCTGGCTTTACAGTCTGACACCATGAAGTCCAGAGCTTCTGCCATTCAGTCAAGGTCAGCTGAGTTTGTTTGTAGTTTTCCTGAAAGCTCTAACGTTCCTCTGCATCACCCAATTGAGTCTAACCAGTATAGTCAGAATAGTCAGTTTGTTTGGCATGAGATAGCAGGCCATTAGCATCCATTCATTCTTAGAGGTTGTGCCCTGAGTGAGCAGGTACTGTGAGAAAGGATACAGGTTTTTAGTTTTTAATTAGTAACATCAAATACACGCCAGGACAAATTATGTTTGTAGCATTACTGCTCCGACTAAACTAATCCTACATTTCCTGTTTTCATGCTGCTGCAATGCTTTTCCAGTCATCTGCTATCAAACTCAGGCCAGTTTCTGCTACTGTGAGCCAACATGCATACAAATCCAGGCCGGGCTTTGTGCTGTGTCGGCACTTTCACTTATGTGTTTATGCAGACTGACACTGAGCCCCACCACCACATCCTCTGCCAACCATTAACCCATGAAGGACCGCAGCAACAAATAGATACCCCTGTTCCGGCCACTAACACCTTCTAACATCTACTGGTTGTTGGGAACTTAAGTTGGGCTGAAGACCTTCAAACGTAAAAGGAATATTCTCTAAAAAAAAAAAGGAAGCTCCTTCTGATGCGTCTCCTGAGCAGATGAGTGTGTCTGTGAAACTCTGGACTGTGGTTATGACACACTGAGGATGATGTCAAGGCCTTTTAAAATCTTCTTACTAGTGCATGTGATTTGTGTCACAATATAGTTAATAAGCTATTATTGGAATCTCTTTTAAATCATATAAGACTGGGAATGTGTCCTCTTGATCGTCTTGATCATCTTTGTTTTCTTTGTGAGGATTGATTTACTATGAGGTTAAATGATTAACTCTGAACACTGACTCTGGGGCTCAGTAAATAACCTCAGCTGTTGACATTGTAGGTGTGAGACAGAGGAGCGGAACACCCGACGTCTTGAGCAACAGGTGGTTCTGCTCAGGGAGACAAAGAGGAAGGCAGACCAGAGCAGCATGATGCTGCAAGCGGACGTTCACCGCTCCATGGCGGAGCTGCAGGAGACGCACCGGGAGTTTGAGGTCACTAAATGTACCCCAAATGTCTGTTATGACATCGTCTTCGATGCTTTCCCTTTTTCTCGCCCAGCGTCCACACCTGCCTGTTTTACTGTCCCTTCATCCTCCTCTCTACCTGGCAGTAGTCAGTCTGCAATGTCTTGAATTATGCTTTTTATTGTTTGTAGTTCCAAGAGTGACCCACTTAGCAGTGGTTATGGCAACTTTCAACCACTTCAAATATTTAGTGGTCACACCTTCAATATCTTTTGTAATGTTCAAAGGAATAAATCAGGTGCTGACAGTTACAGATGGCCACAGGATACTTTTAATCTTCTACATGAAAGTGGCCAGTTAGGGGAAACTAAGAAACATGTGCACAGTATCACCTTGGTTAGAGTTGAGTGTCTAGCACAGACTATGTAAAGCCCTTTGTCTGTAGCTTTTTCTGGCATTTGTTCTAAGTATGTTGTTGTCGTCAAATGTAAGCCCTAAACTCTTGGAAAATATTTTTTCTATGTGGTCGTCTATATCTGATTTTACAAAAGAACCTCTTTTAATTTTAAGGTCCAGTGTGTAAGATTTAGGTGAAAGGGAACTATTGGCAGAATTTTAACGTAGAATAATCCTCATGATGTTTTCACTAATTCGTTTCATCTAAATTGTATGAATTGTAGTTTTCTTCACCCCAGAAAAATCCCTTTTTATCTAAATACTTTATATTTACATTGAGGGGGGTCCGCTCTATGGAGGCTGCCATTTTTTTTACATTAGTCCAGACTGAACAATCTAAACATCTTTTAAATTTTTATAACAACTGAAGCTACCACAGTTTCTTTTTCATATTTGGAAGTGGAGGGTGAGGTGAGGGGTGTTCAGCTGCAACATGCAACTTCACCACTAGATATCACTACATTCTACACACTGTATCTTTAATTCAAGAGCAATGAATTAACAGCATAATTAAGCAAGGTTGCTGTGTGGGTTTCCTTTGGGTCTTCCCATAGTCCAAAGAAATGCAGTTATGGATCGGGTCAATTGGACCATAGGTGTGAATGTGAGTGTTGTGAATGGTTTTTAATTCTTGTATATCTGTCGTTACCTGTCCAGTATGAACCCTGCTTCTCCAACCACTGTTAGGGGGGTTTGGCTCTCAGTTCACCCTGTGACCCTCAAAGGATAAGCAATATAGTTAAAGGATGGATGAATAATGGGTACTTTACAATGACAGCCTGAAAGTAGAGTATGTGCCACCAAGTAAGACTGGGAGAAAACAAGAATATAAATCTAAAAATAATACAATTATAATCCCTTATATTATTGAAACCTTTGGTTGGTGGAGGCTTTGTGAGCTGGATAACCCAGGGGGCTGGAAAAGGGGGTTCAAATGAGGGTTCAAACCTCATTTATCACAACCTGATTTATCATTTGCCTTTGACACCTGTTAGGATTGTTGTGTTCTACTCAATGGTTGCACAGAGACACTGACATGCTTTAAGCAGGCTTTAGACGGTTGCCTAAATGTGGTAGCTGATAAATGGAGACCCCATGTCACTATCACTGGGTCTTTAACACCAATGTTTTTATTGCATGGATGGTTGTGATTGGGAGGGATAATCTGTAAAGTCTGAATACAGTTGGTAAGTAGTTTGACTATTAGCCTGGCAGACTGGCTATAACAAACAGTGTGTTATAGTTGGTAGTGGAGCAGGTTGGACCAGAAGAGCTTGGACAAAAGCTCAGCAACTGACTTTGTAGTTGTTCCATCAAAGCTGTAACAATATTGACTTGACTCGTGTGAAAATAATATGTGAAGGTATCAAATTACCAGCCGTTATTAATAAAACTATGGGACAGGCCTGCCCATATGTGGTGAGTGCTTGAAACATTGGTTGAAATATATTATATATGTTATTTTAATTTGTATATATATATATGTAATATGCTAGTGATTTGACTATACTCTATAGATAGTCCCAACATTTTGTCCCCCACTTAAATATTTCATCAACTATTCACAGGCTTGCGATGAATCATGTCAAACTTTTAGCATGCTAACATAAACTAATAATGTTTTGCTCCATTAACCTCGAATGTACTTTGTGTTTTGTGGTAATGCCCTGGTACAGCATAACAAAGATGTTGGCATGGTTTTAGACTCTGGGTAATGCTTTATAAAATGTGGATAGCTGATTAACCAGAAGAAAAACAAACTAACCAAGGGCTTTGAGGATCAGTTTGACACAGAAACATTTTGTCAGTTTGGTGTTGGTAATATATTAGATTTCAGAAAATGAGGACATTTGAGATTCTCTATTTTTTACACATCATGAACGTGATCCAGTTAAGTGGTCTTTAAATAGAAAAGTGCATAAAACAATGTGAATGAGTGTGTGTGTTTGTGTGTGTATGTGTGTGTGTGTGTGTGTGTGTGTGTGTGCGTGTTTGTGTCCACGTTTGCATTTGACAGGATCTTCTGTCTACTCATCTCTTCACTCTGACCTCATCCTCCTCTCTCTTTCCTTTCCCACCTCCTTCTATTAGTTTTCTCAGTCCTGCTGACTAATACCTCCACCGCTCCTACCTCCACCACTACTGTGATTTGTCCTTCACCCATACACACACACACACACATACACACACACACACATGCACGTATGTAAGGCTGAATAATCTCACTCACTTGTCTCTGCATTGCGATATGCCTCACTGCCCACTGTCATAAACACACACACACACTCACACGCACACTTGTCTCTTGCCCTCCTTTTGTCCTTTGCATCTTTGTAACAATATGTTCACAAACTAATTCCATCTCTCTGTTTAGTGTTTAGTGTTTCTCTCTCTTTACATCATTGACTCTCCTCTCATCCTCCCTCTCCCTCTCTCCCTGTCCTCCCCTCCCTCCTACTCCTGCTCCCTCTGGTTGGCTGTTTGTAGGCAGCCCAGGCTCTGCAGCTGCAGCGGGCCGGCTCCTGCGATGCCCTGTTAGCATCATCTACGGCAAAAGGAGAGGAGGAGGAGGATGGCACAGGGATGGAGCTCACCCGGCTCCTCGACAGAATCAGAGCGCAGTGCGACCATAACAGATTTCCCGGCCCAGAAGAGAGCCTCGGGGCCGTGGCAAATCCACCTCCAGGCTTGGTCGGGCCCAGCCACTCTGGTGCTGGAGCAGCAGCAGCAGCCAGAACACACAGAGGAGCTCTCAGTGAGGTGTGTAACATCCTTGTTTTCCTTGTGCATCTTCACTTAGCTTTTTTTTTTCTGTGCCTCTCTCATGTTGTCCTGGCCCACTGCCAGTCAGACACACCCTCAAGACCAACTCCAGACTCTCCGAGGTAAGGCAGACAGATGAACTGTGTGTGCTCCATTTGAGTTCAATGGTAAGTGGGCTGTTTTGTGACTGTGGTGAAAAGCTGGAGATTTAAGAGACACTATGACTCTCCCTCCTTTCTTCTTCTTCTTCTTCCAGATTTTCTGTTTTGTATGACTCTCCTCCTTTTCTAATCACGTCATCTAAATACTACATTTAGTGCTAAACACTATCGCAGTAGTGTGTAACACAATATGATCTGTTACTAGTATGTCTGAATTATTCCTGATCTTCATTAGATATGTATGAGCCAAATAACAACTGATGCATTCTCATCTGTAGGATACAATCTTGCAGATTTGTATCCTTTATCTAGTAAATGTAGCTTTTTGTTATTTTTGCCACCTGCCCCCTAAGTCTGGATGCTTTCATTATCCCAGTGTTCCTGTGCCACAGCACAATGACTTTGTTCTGACAGTGACGATAAAGAGCCTTTGCCACAGGCTCCAAGCCACCACAGTGCTAAACCAGAGTATACTTTATGAAACACTGTTATTTACATCAGACTCATTAAGTAACGTTAACACAATGCTGCAGTCAAATGCCTGTGTGGTGTATGTATTTACCATGGCTGACATTCAAGTCAACTTTGAAATTTAGTCTTTTGGGGAACAATTTCATACTGGGTGAATAAACATACAATCAGCTGTATACTGTGGTGTCATGATACTGCTCAGGGAAAGATGTTGCTCTCTGGGTTCTTTACTCCATGAGTTGGCAAAGTGCAGACAGGAAAGTGAAGAATCTAAACCCTGATACAGACATGATAACATCCTTTTTAATCTTAAACCTGTAAGGTGGAGTTTTCCTGTAAACAGACAAAAGTTACATTCAGTGTTTCTCATCCAAACATTGTGTGAATCCCTGTGGTCTAATAGTTATTATTACTGCTGCCATCAGTGTAACACACTGGTGTGAAACCGTTGACAGGTGTGTGTGTGTCTCATCATGCATGTGTGTCCTGCAGCATGTATAGGACACAAACAAAAGCAGGGGCCCAGTTCTAAAAACATAGCATTAGCAGTTGTCAAATCCTCCACAGGGCACCTTTAAAATCTCTGTAATGGAATAATATCAACTCTGAATCAGTGTGCACAAACTCCAGTGGTTTGTCATCAGTTTATACGTGAGGAAAACATTTTGAAAGCCGATTTTGACTACTTTTATAGTGAGGAGTAGGTATTTTTACTGAAGTAAAGAAATCCAACTTAACCGCATATAATAAATAAAAGTCTGATAAAGGATTTTTTGACCAGTCTTATAAGTAATGTCAGATATCCTCTGTCTAAATTCCTTATTGTGTAATTTTCCTATTAGATTAAAGAATGATTAATGCAGTAAAACAAAAAATGAAAAATAACTTATATAACATGAGTCATCTTATTTTCTTGTTACTATCAAAATATTGGCATAACTGTGCTGAGACAGTTTCACCGCTCCACTGCATTTGAAGGGGGGCGAGGATGGAGAGTGTGAAATGTTTAACAGCTGTACTGTGTCTCAGTGCAGCTTGTACAGCTGTGTGTACACTGGGTGTCTGCTCCACTTTCTGTGTATGCAAACTGAAACGCACACCACCAACACAACCAAATTCTCCTCTGACAGAGTGCCAGTGGGAAAAAGCTGTCGGTGGCTGTATGTGCTTCTCATCGAGCCTGTCTCATTTATCTTATGCATACATGAATGCATACTAGAAATTAACATGAGCACATTCTGCACACGAGTTATCCTATCTTACGTCTTATCACAATACTGGTATTGTGTTTTCTTGTGAGAAGTTAAATGGATATTTGTGTGTGTGTATATCTAGTTGAGAGTGAATATGGTGGTAATGTGGGTTCTTGCTGGGGTTCTTGGGCCTCTTTTAAAATCTAACCCTCCTCACCCCACCCAGGAGGAAGCAGCGTGGGCTCAGGTGAGCCTCGGCGGCTCCGCCTTGAGGGAGGCACGGGCCGAACTCGCAGAGGCCAGGAAGCAGTGGCACTCCCTGCAGGTGGAGATCGAGACCCTGCATGCTTTGGTAAGACAACAGTGACCTACATGCTCCTGTATCACCAGGACCAATTCCCCAGCTATCACACTGATAGCACTTCTCCTAATGTTCTCAATGTTTCAAGTACTTTCTTTTGTATAAATACTTGAAGCATTAAAACACCTCTTCAGTTATGTTAGACAATGTCTTTTCATGTGAATGTTGCGTATAGTGTTTTTTTTTTTTAGGGCCAAACAGCTTATTCAGTAGTTGTTGGAACAAATGTTATTGTCATGGTAGTGCTCGCAGAAACGTCAGCACATCACTGAAGTCAGACATTCATCCTCCAGGGAGAACGAATGTCTGAACCAAATGATCCAATAAAGATATTTCAGTCAGGACAAAAGTGGTAGAACCTCTGGCTAACTAAAATGTAGCAACCTGTATACAATGCACTCAATTTCATTGTAAATGACAATTAGTGTAATGTATGAACAAAGATTAATAAAATGTAGAGTAAATCCTGCAGCATTATTTTGACTACATTTTAATAATTCGATAATATTCAGTGGTGGTGGTTATAACATTTAAGTTTTGTTGCTATTGACTTTTGTTATCACAATAAAGTAATAATAAATATGACATGACTTAGTGCATATTAAGTTTGTCATGATCACATTTTCATTTTTCAGCAGCATCTCACATCCATTAACATGGATTTGTACTGTTGCACTCTCTGTGGTGGGAAGCCAGTGAGGGACTTTGTTCCTTATAACAAATAATAACATTATTATTTTCTACATGCTTCTTCGAATACATTGTTATTTAACAACCTAAAAATAATGTCCAGTCATTATGCTGACAGCCCGTTACCTCTTGCTATCCAGGAGAAAGGCCTGGAGAGCTCCTTGCATAACACCCAGCAGATGTACTCCAGCCAGCTGCAGGACCTTTCCCAGGTTATTGTTGGGCTGGAGAGTGAGCTGGAGCAGGTGAGGGGTGGGCTGGCCACCCAGCGTCAGCGCCACAGCCAGCTCCTCAACACCAAGATGAGGCTGGAGCGAGAAATTGCCACTTACCGTCGTCTCCTGGAGCGTGAAGAGGGCAGGTGAGGACAAGAGACCGAGAAAAGAATGGAAAAATCAGGGGAACCAGGAAATAATCATTCACTTGGAATTTTGTGGTTTCAGTGTCAACCAGGAAATACTTTTTATTTCTAGTTGGAATGGGTATTTCCCAACACTTTCACAGCAACGCCTTCACAAACTGTGGAAAGGAACAAAAAAAAAGAGAAAAATAGGCGCTCATTCACTGAAACATCTCCCTCCCACTTAAGGACAAAGTCAACAAATTCATTACTTCATCGTTTCCTTTATTGAGCTGTCAAACTAATAATTTCATGCGGCTGCATCTTGAGTTTGGTTGAATCCTACTATTCTGTTAGGGATTAGAGACTTAATCTTTATAGAAACAAATTATCCCCTGTTATTGCAGGCTGAGACACATTTAAGCTGTAAAAGAGAACACCCAAACAACATATGACACATGACTGTTGTAACAGTGTCTGGAAAATAAACGTGTACAGTATATCTAATGTAGTTATACATACAAAAAGCACAAATGTCCTGCTGACAAACTTCCTGACTCTGATTTAGAACGTATAAATCCAGCTCTGTCTGTAATCAGATATAATGATAAGCCCCAGTCTTCTATTTATCAAGCTGTTTTAATATGGAATATTCCATTCTTCTTGCATGGCCTTTAATTATCTTCACTTTGGACCATAGGTAGACGACTCACATTGAACTCCAGTGCAATTCCTAAACCAACACCTCTTCTGCAGCACTCATATGATTGTCAAGCTGTATAGTCTGAGGAGGGTAATTTTGTTTTATGACTCTTGTGGAGGTTACAGGGTGATTGATGTGCCACTTTTGGTTTTCCTCATTTCTTTAGTTTGCAGATGCTTTTCACTCAGAATCTGACTTTGAATGATGTCATGCCAGGAGAGACAGGACGTGACTTCTGAAATCTCTATTGGTAGTTCTTATTCGAGAAGGGTCGAGAGTGAGTGGGGAGCAAGTGACAGCTCAAAGGGCTGTGTGAGGAAAACTGGAGAAGAGAGCTTCCTGATACAGTGAAGAAGAGTCTTTCTCATGAAATCACAAAGATCTGTGAATTATGTTTGCAACTTAACCAAATAGAAGACAGAAAAGATCACACTGATATTCCAGACTGTGCGAAGACAGTCTGTTTACCACCACATGAGGTTTCACACGTATTTTTGCAAAATATTACAAAAGAGAACTAAGTCTGTGTCTACAGCCTTGTTAGCCGCTCTGTAAACTTGTATTTGGGCACAGTTTGAGCCAAATGCTAACAATATGCTAACACGTTGACAATGACAGTATAAACATGCTGATGTTTAGTATAATCTTTAGTGTGTTAACCATTTTTCTGCACTGTTAGCATCCTAACTTTGATACTTAGCAAAACTAGGATCAGAGGAATTTCTTTACTTCTACATTTATCAGGCAAATACGTGAATGCTTGATCCAAATGAACCCTAACTTCATAGCGTTGAGTAACAGCTGGGTATTAATTGACTTCATCCTGTGAGGACCATGAATACTAATTTCCGTTTAGAGATTTTTAGATTTGTTAGTAATATGCAGCTGTTATTTGTCGAGTGGGTTCCATTTTTTTCTCTCGTGAAGATCCACATTCGTGTGGATGACACAATACACAATCCTATCAATGATCAAGTTCACTTATATGTTCCGGTATCATCAGGGAGATTATGATTAAAGGTATCTAAGGTATAAAAAGGAGCCCAGTATATTCCAACATCTCCTCACATCCTCCTTCTAACTGCTGTTTCATGGTTTAATTGCCTGTGCAGACTCTGGCAGGGTTCTCTATCTTGGGGAACCCCTGACATGCCCTAGCCAGCATAATTGATGCTGGATGATTATTGCTGCAATACTCTCGCTGTTGGATTGAGCACACACGTCTGTAATTCTACTTCTGTTTGAACAATTTGAGGCGTTGATGTGGTGTCTGTGGGTGATACAGCAGCACTGACATATCAACTTTCATCAGAAGTTAGAGATTCTTTCCGATGAGGAGCCTCCAATGTGGGTTTCCAAAGTATTCTCATTTGATCCGGGTTTGATTGAGATCAAAGTTGTAATTCTGTGATGTGATACTGCTCAAGTGATAATAATGGCCAACAGAGATGGGGGCTGGAACTCCACTGACAGACTGCCTCTGTTAGGGTGATGTTGGCAGACAGTTGCATCCTGGAACAGGTCTCGCAAGGATAAACTAAACAGATCTTAAGTTTGGACTACAAGAGTAAAAATATCGACTCACTGCAGCTCCAGAAGTTGCTCCCTACAGAGCTCAGTGGTTGGACCTTTTAACAATAAGTAAGATACCAGACGTCACGTTAAAGCCAAGGTATTTTGGGTGATATGTTCATTTGTTGAGACATAGATGTGACTATCGAAACCACTTCCAACACCATATCCATCATTTTTACAAATTACAGCTAGGACACGTTTATTTTAACTTAGCATAATAATAATAATAACTGTATTTGTATAGCGCTTACCTAAACAAACAAAGTGCTTCACAAAAAAATCCATGGCAAGAAGAAACATTAAAGATATAACTTTAATAACTTAATTATTAACTCACTTACTTAATTATTGAGCTTCACAGTTGCTGGTGGTCAGATTGATTTTTTATCTTTTGACAGAGCTAAGCTAGCTTTCAGTCTTCTTTTGTCCCTCTCCTTGCTGTAGTATACACATCAAGAAAAGCCAGAAAGTTGAAAAGATTTCAAACTGTTGTTGTAACCAAGACACACACACACTTATAGTCTTTTGGCCACGATAACTCTGTATGCTGTGCCTGTGGCTGTAGGTACATGGGTCGGGACGGGCCGTCGATGGGTCTGCGACCCTGGAGGTCCCCTGTGGTGGAACCAAAGGAGAATGGGCTGGAGAACAGTTTCAGTGACCCGGCTGTTACTCCGGATGAACCCAAATCTGAGCCCCTACCTGAAATACCGCCACTCCTCCCTGCAGAGAATGGGCTAAAGAGAAGCATACTGCGCAGACAGCAAAGCCTTGTGATACTCACAGGTAACACACACACACACACACACACACACACAAGCACACACACACACTGCTACAGTCATGTTATGATTTATTGTTAATATCTTCTCACAGAACCAGAGCATAATAACGATTTGCCGATCTCCACTGTGAAGACTCAGGAGATCCTTCAGGGCAATGTTGTGCGGGAGAGTGCCGAGGGTCATGGCACCATCGAGTAAGTATCGATCTTTGTGCACCTCATTGACCTGCAGTCAGCACCTCTGGTTCAGTCTGAAATGTAGGCAGTTTCTATTAGCAGGGCCCAACAGCATCACTTTAGAGTACAGATATTTGTTTAACACATAAATGCCTTTTTAACACATACGTGTTTTCTTTCTGGTTAAATCCTCTGAAGCCTTATCGTCTCACTTACCCCTCAGGTTATTGTTGACTCATCAGTTCATAATGACAATTATCCTGCACCTCGGCGACATCTGGTCCAGCATACCACATGTGTAAACTCTCAATGGAATTACTATTACACGTTGAACAAGTTGTCATAAAACATTAAGCAGGCTGCTCAGGTTCCCATGAGTAAGTCATCATAGTAGCTCATGGGAATTTTTCTGCCTTTAACAGTTTGTGTTTGATGTGGAGACACCAGCCTGGTGTTGAGTTTTAAGGGCATGGCCCTTTTTATTGTTGGGCGAGACATGGGTGGAATTCTTTGTTTATGCTTCAAGTGTTACCAGCCCAATAGACAAATCTACAAAGACACACACACACACACACACTCAGGTACTTGCATAAAGACCCACCTGCAAAGTCTTTCTGCCAGCTGCAGGGTGTTGAGTGTCTGTGGGTGTGTGTGTGGGTGTGTGTGTGTGTGTGTGCTATTTTTAATTTTAAGATCAGTTATTTTGTCTTGACGTTCCTAAAATCATTCCTGTATGATTCGTCCACTGACGCAATTCGTTTATTTATTTTATTTATTTTAGGAACTGAAAAGTCCGATAAACATATGACCTCTCTAAATGCTGAAACATTTCCTTGTTGCAGAAACAATTATCTCTTAGTCAGAGCATCCTGTTTGGTGTGTCACACTTTCATATACAGTGCTCTCCTTCTCTGGAGAGTCTCTTCTTCTGTTCATAGAGATTTGCATCAATTTGAATTTATTTTGACTGAGTTTGTTTTGGAAGAGCCTTCACCGAGTTCAGATTTTCGCTCCTCGGTGCCATATGGTTCACGAATTATGTGCATTTTTCTACGGAACATGTTCCACTGTTCCACACAGGGCCCGACTCTCAGTCACCTCGCAGCTTTAAAGTGTTCTCCCTTGCTGCCCCCTAGTGTTATTGAACATGTTATTACACATCTTGCCTCACTTAGTTGTATTATGACTCAATTAATACAAAAAAGAATTTGTTGTTTTTGAGTCATGCCATTGACAAAATAAATAATGAGGTCACCTAAATAGAATCAGCCAGATGGCATTCACACTGAAAGAAAGACAAATCTTCGTATGTTCCCGAACAAAAGAAAAACAGACAAAATAAACAAAACACAGACCTACAACCTAAATTCAACTGCTTTCAAATAGATGATGTGATGTTTATCATGTGTCATCATCATCACCTCCGATGTATATACATGATTTTTAACATCTCTTGTCAGGACTGAGAAGATTGACAAGGTGATAAAGCAGTGGGAGGGCTCCTTCTTCAGAGGGAATCCCAAGCTGCGGAAGAAGTCCGTGTCGCTGCGCTTCGACCTGCACATGGCTGCAGCAGACGAGGGGTGTGCCCAGACTAAACAGGACAGCCTCCCTGACGTGGAGGTGCGTCTCATCATGAAGAGATCTCGCAGCATCCCTGCAATCACACAGTGATCACACCGGTTTGCAGATGTTTGTGGTGATACAGGTGATGCTGAAGTTGCAGAAATAGCATCTGTGTCAACGACATCTGGGGTAATGACATTACCATCATGCTTAATATGTATTTCTCATTATATATACTCACTTAACATCAGAACTGATGACTGAAACTGATTTCTCTCATCAAACCTTTCATCCATCTGGCTCTTGTGCTGATCTAATGGGGCAATTTTTTACAGTTTCAGAAAGCGACGACAACTTTATCACATATTTTCATTACATTACAATTTAATATGCAAAACTTTCTCTGTCATCTTTCTCAGTGAAGAAAACACTCCTCTCCATCCTGTCATTGTTTCAACTACTGCATTTAATTCTAATATATAAATAGAGGCAGAGATCACCAAGGCTGGATTTTTCTATAAGTTTTCAGTCAGGGACTG